AGAAAATTTTGAAAAAGTGAGTCATTCAGAATCTGCAAAAGAAGCTTGTGAGGTTCTTGAGATGTCTTTTGGTGGTGCAGAAAAGGTGAAATAAGTGAGGTTACAAAATCACAAGAGAACATATGAATTGCTTCAGATGGAAGATAGTGAGAGCATATCTGATTTCTTCACTAGGGTTACAAAACTAGTGAATCAAATCAAGGTATGTGGAGAAACATTAACAATAAAAGCTGTTGTTTTGAAGATCTTGAGATCTTTGTCTCCTAAGTTTGACCACGTGGTGGTGGCTATAGAATAGGGGAAAGACTTTTCGAAATTGACAAAGGAAGAGCTTCAATGGACGCTTGAATCTCATGAACAAAGAATGATTGAAAGAGCTGCAGGCAAGTCGAAGAGTGATGTGGCTTTGCAGGCACATTCAGTAAAAGAAACCAAAGGCAAAAGAAAGTGGTTCGATAGAGGTAGAGGCGGCTATAACAAATCGATGGTAGAGGAAACCAGATTGAAGGAAACGTGTCGAATCAGAGAAGACCATACCAAGGCAACTAAAGAGGTGGTGTTGCAAATAGAGGAAGAGGTGGTGGTCAAAAACCTGACAAGAGTCACATTCAATGTTACAATTGTTAGAAGTATGGTCACTATTCGAGTGATTGTCCAGAAAAGCGAAATAATCAAGAAAGTGATGTAAAGTTTGTAAAACATGAAGCAGAAGAGATGATGTTGATGGTCACAACAAGAGATGAAGATATATTCAAGGACCAATGGTACTTGGATTCAGGATGCTCATCACATATGTCTGGAAGGAAAGACTGGTTTGTCAACATAAAGCCCTCAATGAAAAATATGGTAAAATTCGCAAATGACAATACCCTAGCAGCTGAAGGTATTGGTGATGTTATGATTATGATGAAAGATGGAAAGAGGTCAGTAATTTCCAATGTGTTGTACATACCAGGCATGAAGAGCAATTTGCTCAATATAGGGCAGTTGGTCGAAAAGAATTATAACGTGTTGATCGAAGATAAGATGATGAGAGTCGTCGATGCAAATGGAAGATTAATCTTGAAGGCTCCTATGTCTCAGAATAAAAACTTCAAGATCGAACTAAATGTGATGGAGCACAAGTTCCTTTCGATTACAGCTAGCAAAGATGAATGGATATGGAATTATTGACTAGGACATCTCAACTTCAGAGACATCAGAGATTTGAAGAGAAGAAATATGGTTTCAGGATTTCCAGAAATCAACATTCCAAACGAGGTATGTGAGGAATGTGTGCAGGCGAAGCAGCATAAGAATAGCTTCATCAAGGATGCAGGAAGCATGCCGAAGGTTATTCTTGAAGTCATATACTCTGATGTATGTGGACCAATCCGGGTGGATTCGATGGGAGGTAACAAATACTTTGTTACATTCATAAATGATTTCAATTGAAAGCTTTGGACTTACCTGATCAAGAAGAAAAGTGAAGTGATCGAGGTATTTGCCAAGTTTAAGTCTATGGTCGAAAGACAAAGTGGTCGAAAACTCAAAATTTTGAGAACTGATTGTGGTGGAGAGTATGTGTTAAAAGACTTTGATAGGTTATGTGAAAAGGAAGGGATTATGAATGAGGTGGTGCCACCCTATACTCCACAGCATAATGGAACTGCAGAAAGAAAGAATCAAACCATCATGAATATGGTGAGAAGTATGTTGAAAAGCAAGAATTTACCTAAAGAGTTTTAGGGTGAAGTTGTATCGACTGTAACATATATTTTGAACAGATGTCTTACGAAGAAGCTAGAAGGAATTACTCTAGAAGAATGTTGGTCTGGTGTGAAGCCTAGCTTGAGTCATCAAAAGGTATTTGGATCTATTGCACATATACATGTGTCAGATCAGTTGAGAAGAAAACTTGATGACAAGTCGAGTCAAATGATTCTAGATGGATATCATTCGACATGAGGTTACAAGTTGTTCGATCCAGTGAATAAGAAGATTGTGATCAGTAGGAACATGATCATAGATGAGCTTAAAGAATGGGATTGGAATGAAAATGTCAAGAAAGATTCAGTGGGAATTCTACTTGAAGAACCAAAAACTCAAGTCGAAAGAGAAATTTAACAAGAGGAACCAGCAGTTATAGATCAACCAAGTACAAGCAGACCTCAAAGAACAAGACGCATGCCTGCAAGATTCCAAGATTGTGTGATTACATCAGATGATGTGATAGATAATAAAGGTGAGTTGGTACATTATGCTTTCTATGCAGATGTAGAACCTGTCAATGCAGCTGAAGCATTGAAGGATTCAAAGTGGGTGAAAGCAATGAACAAAGAAGTGAAGTCTATCAAAGACAACAACACTCGGTCACTTATCGAATTGCCTCAAGGCAAGAAGGCAATTGATGTCGAGTGGGTATAAAAATTAAAAATGAATTCCAAAGGAGAAGTAACTCGACACAAAGAAAGGCTTGTGGCGAAAGGATTTCTATAAAAATAAGGAATAGACTTCGATGAAGTTTTTGCACCTGTTGCTAGGATCGAAATAATCAGGTTGGTTATTGGTCTAGCAGAAATAAACAGATGGCACATATGTCAGATGGACGTGAAGTGTGCATTCCTGAATGGACCTTTAAATAAAGAAGTTTATGTTAAACAACCAATTGGATTTGTGAAACATGACGAAGAGAGAAAGGTGTGCAGGTTGCATAAAGCTCTGTATGGATTGAAACAAGCTCCAAGAGCTTGGAATAAGAAACTTGATAATTTTCTAAGGGAGAAGGAATTTGTGAAGTGCACAACTGAACATGGATTATATGTAAGAAGAAGCAATAGTGAATTGCTTATACGATGTCTCTATGTCGATGATTTGTTGATAACAGGTAGCTGTAAAAGTGAGATCGAAGACTTCAAAGGTAATCTCAACAAGGAATTCGAAATGTCTGATCTGGGTGAAATTTCATATTTCCTTGGCATCAAATTCTACAAGAGCAATAGAGGTTTGATGATGCATCAAAGAAGATATGCAGGAGAAATTCTCAAGAGATTTGAGATGGAAGAATGCAACTCAACTTCGACACTCGCAGAACCAAGACTGTAACTGTCGAAATATACGGATGAAGATGATGTCGACCCAACCCAATATAGAAGACTTATTGGGTCATTGAGATATCTTTGTCATACAAGACCTGGCTTATCATATAGTGTAGGTATGGTAACTAGATTGATGCAGAAGCCAAATGCATCACATCCAGCAGTGGTGAAGAGGATACTAAGGTATCTCAAAGGAACTCTCGACTATGGCATTTTGTTTCCTGCAGCTGATAAAGAAAAAGAATGCAAGTTAGTGGAATACACTGATTCGAGTTGGTATAGTGATTCTGGAGATCAAAAATCAACAGCAGGATATGTGTTTATGTTAGGTGGTGCACCCGTTTTTTGGAGTTCAAGAAAGGAACCAGTAGTGGCATTATCATCATGTCAATCATAATACATAGTTGCTTCTTTTTGTGCATGTCAAGCAATTTGGATGGTGAACTTGGTCGAAGAGATAACAGGGAAAGATCATGGAGCAATTACCATGAAGATCGACAGCATGTCAGCTATCAATTTGGCGAAGAACCCGGTAGCACATAGTCGAAGCAAGCACATCGAAATGAGGTTCCACTATCTTCGATAGCAGGTAGCAGATGAAAAGATGCATTTGGAACACTGCATAACTGAGAATCAGATTGCACACATCATGACGAAGGGAGTGCAAGCGGAAGTATTCAGAAGACTAAGAACCATGATGAATATAGATAGTTTAGACACAATGAATTAGGTGGTGTGTTAAATTGTAATTCGATTGTGTCGAAACAGTGTGTGTCGAAGGGAGGTTGCCCAGTTGAAGAGTCTGTGGATCGAAACAAGCTACATAAAAATTTGATTGGTTTTAGATTTAAATAGATTTGATTTAGATCTAAAATAGATATATTTGATTTAGTACCAAAATAGGTATTTTGGACTTTTATAATTTTAGGCTTTGGCTTAGAGAACAAGTTAATCTAAATCTATAAATAGAGGAAGTAACTCCTAATTTTGTAATTAAGTCAATTCATTGTAATCACAGAATTTGCAGTTGCAAGTGATTAATAAAGTTTTCCAAAGTTTGTGGACATAGAGAAACTCTAGAGAAAATAATTGTCTTCTTTCTTTTCTTTTTTTTTTCTCATAATTCATTGTCATTGTGCAATAATATCAATCTTATTCATCAAAATTGGTAGAAATTCATCATAGATATTTGATGGATTTCCAATCTTCCATAATTGTTTTCTTGCTTTTATATCCTTCAAAAGAATATTGTCAGAGATAGACTATAACAAACTAAAAGTAAGTCTTCATCCCGTACAAATAGACGTCATATCTTCGAGAACCACCATTCACCTCTCACCATATGCACAAATTAGCCAAGAATGCCTCTTTAACTAGAGAGTAACATGATATATTTGAGTAAGTCGACCTTCCATAAATAACTAGTGCACTTCCTTACTAAGAGCCTTTTTATAATTCTATCAATTATAGGCGTCCAAAAAGAGAATTTGCGAGAATTATCACCTATCGGGAGGCTAAGATAAGTATATGGCAAATCTTCAATCTTACAATTAAGCACAAGGTTGATTTCTCATCTTCATTAAAGAATTAATATTGTTTGAATTACCACAAGTGATGATATTTAATTTTATCATAAATGTATAAAACTAATTAATCATTATATTGTATTAGAAAGCGGTTGATGGAATTCTAACAAGCCCACTTAGAATTGTACGAATTTATATGACAAGAATTTCCATAGTTTGTTCTCAACAATCAACATGATATAACTTCTCTTTATATATATTATATTTAGACCCAAGCATCCATAATTAGTAATTATTTTTGGAAAGAAAATCATAACGAGGGATTTAATATATACCCTCTTAACTCTTAAGAGCTACAACATGACAAACAAACACAACTTTTCCAATACTCAATTAATTAATCATAATGATTTTTGAGTGAAGCATTCAGGGGTTGGAATCCATGTTTAAGAGCTGAGTTCCAAACTTTATCTATGTTATTCATTTTGTAGCCACATTCATGTTCACTCCATCCTTCTAATGAGTGCACTATCCCAGCAATGCGCCATGCACTCATTACCCTCCTTGGCAACCAATCCTGCATATACATAAACATATATGACAATTGCATACAATAAGCACTTAATAAAATGGCTTAATATACATTGATAAATAAAGATGATTGGAAAATGTTAACTACCTCACAAGAATGGACATTTTCAATAGATTTGGGAGTTAACATCGATGGAGTGTAATGGTATGAACAATCTTTACGATGTTTCTTTGGTGGAAATGGTGAATATGGAATAAATAATGTTCCTTTTGGGGCCTTCAATTGTTCTTCTTCAGTTAATCCCTCTCCCACTAACCAAATCTGTGCACACACAAAAAGAATATATGAAATTAATTAGGATAATAGATAACATTGAATATTACTATTATAAACAAAGTTCATTAAAAAATATTACCATTTGAGTGCAACTTTTTGTATTGATCAAATTTGTAATTTCAGAGCTATTGATCAATGATTTTTTGAGCTTCACGTAATCATCCTCGTACATTGTAGCTACCTAAAATTGTAGAAAATTAACATGTACTCAAATAAATATTTAGATAAAGAAAAAAAAATTATAACGGGGATTTAAACTCAAAGATTGTACAAAAATTAACATGTACTCAGATAAATTTTTAAATAAAAAAAATGATGATAATTAAGGTTTGAACTTTGAACCCGAGATTTAAGATAAAATATAAGTGCGAAGAAATTTACCTGAACTCCTCGTTGGCACAATGTGTAGGCAATGGCATAAGCAACCTTGGTGAATTTTCCTCTTAGCAATACTTGAGTTGTCCCTTTTGGAATGCTATTAAGAACAGTAGCAACAACTAGGCTACTACCATCAACAACCTTAACATTAAGTTTTGGATGTCTATTAACATATAATCCTCCATAGATGTTAAGCTCTTCCCCTTGATTCATTAGACCTAAGCTCACCACTTCTATACCCTTTTTGTCAGCATCTAGTATTGCATCCTCAATCATTTTGTTGATGGTAACTTTTTGCCATTGAAGTAAGTACTGAAAAAAAAAAGGTTACCCAAGAAATTAATCTTAAAATTAAGGTATCTCATCTAGTAGGGTTAATAACTAGGTGTATTTGGTTGAAAATTAGCATCATCCTATTTAATATGAGAGTGGGAATATGAATGAGATAGTGGACAACATCAAAAGAGATATTTTGGATTTAGTTCATGAATTGGGAGGGTAGAGAAAAAAAAAGTGTAGTCTCATATTGGTTGAATAGTCTCTACTATAGTGTGTTAAAGGAGTATGAAATCATGTGCTAATGTATTTTTTTTTTTTTTGACATTGCACAACTTGTGCTAATGTATTTTGTTTTTTTTACATTGCACAACTTTTGCTTTTTTTAAAATTTGCTTGAAAATAAAAAAAAAATGTTAAGGAACTAAAGATATAAATTTTATTTTAAAATTTATGGTTAAAAGAGAATTTTTAAATTGTTAAAGATGACCTTTTAAAATTTATTAATATATGTCTTTAAAACACGACACCTTACCAATAATAATAATAATAATAATGATTATGGATAAGAAATTTATGAGTGTTATTTTATAAAAGAAAACTCTTTTAAAAAGTTAAATTTATGATCTCTAAAGTCGAATACAATAACTTAATTGTTAGAACAATACTCTCTTTCTTAAATATAAAGTTATTTTTTAAATTAAATTAATATACACAATTTTATTTTAAATAGTAAAAAATATTATTTTTAGAAGACTTCTATGACATCGAGTCTAGATAGAACACATGTACACAATTTTAGTGGTATAAAAAAAAATAACCATGCACGAAAGAACTATTTTTTAATTTTAAACTCATGACCTCGAAGTCAAAAGACAATAATTTAACTATTAGATCAATACTCACTATCTTACATATAAAAATATTTTAAAATAAATTAATATACACAAATTTATTTTAAAAACAATTTTTTTTAATAAAACTTCTTTAATATAAAGATCTAGATAGGGCACATGCCCATAAGCTTAACCATATAAAAGAGAACTCTTTTCAATATTTGAACTTGTGATCTCTTAAGTCAAAACGCAACAACCTAAATGTTTGGCCAAAGCTCATCCTCTCATATAAAAATATTTCTAAAAAAATTAATATAGACAATTTTATTTTAAATACAAAAAAATGATATTTTTTGGTACAATTAAATATTAGAAATTTAAGTAACAAATATATTTAAAAGAAAAAGTGAGTTTAGTTTTGATGCATAGTCGATCACAAGTTATTATTATATAGCATGCAAGTGTTGATGAAATATATAGTAAATTTACCTGAAGACTGTACTTAGGAATTGCCCAAGTTTGAAGGTTAAGTTTATCATCAAAACGGTTTCTTTCAACGATGAACGTTCTACCATAGACCCATGTGAGTAACATGGACCAAGCTGTAAGAGGCCACATCAACCAAAGGTACCATTTTGATGTGTATGGCTTAGAAGCTAAGTGAGCAAATCCAAATCTTAGATGATAAATGGATTCAGGGGTTGTTAAATGTGTTAAGTGGACAACATTTGGTGTCTCTTCCTTTCTTTTTAATGCCAACTCGTGAACTTCATCTAAGGTCTTGTCCATTGTCCCATAAATGTAGTCATAAAGTGGCATGAAAAGTGAGTAGTTTGTTCTAAATTGAGTATGGTGCAAAGAGTGAAACCTACAATAACATACAACAAAACTTATTAGTGCAATTTTCAGAATTAGCTTCAATGTTGGAGTCCGTTGAATTTAGATGTAAGGTTAAATTTCAATAATTGGTGCAATTTTCAGAATTTACCTATTATATTTATATTTCGATATTAAATTAAAATGACTGTGTTTTTCAATACTTACGATGGAGTGTACATGAAATACTTGAGAGGTGGGAAGATATCAAAGAGCCATTTAGGAACAACTTCAAAGTTGCAATGGCCTAAATTGTTCATGAAATCAATATAAGTGACATATCCAACCATTGCACCAACGGAAGCTTTGTTTGAGAAGACCAGGGTCAATTTGGGTATTGCAAATAGGAGAAAATATGATATGTGTTCGGCGAATGGATGGATGACAGCTGTAAAAAGACAAGACAAGAATATTGTTATTAGAGAAACATATAATAAATTGCTCAACAACATTAATTTGCCAACTTATGATTTTTGTTTTATCATATGAACATACTAACAATTACACCTGGCTAGTGTTGAATTTTGTTTGCATTAAGAAAAGTATAAACTCTTAATGGAAAAGTATTTAAATTAAAAAATTATAATACTAAAAAATATGTCTCCCTCTTCAAAATCTAACTAAAATTATTATTTCTCTTCAAAAAAAATTTATTTAAAAAAAAAAGTTTACTCATAAACTTAACTGAATGAATAAAAATATAGCAGGTGGGATCTTAGGTAAAGGGTTTTAATCCCTTGAACCAAAAATAGTTAAAACTCATCAATTTTGAACCAATTAATTTCCACCTTCCATAATACTAATAATAACAATGACAACCACTATAATAAATTGCACTATCCTATCTTGTTTTGCTAAATGGAAATGAAAAGCAGTGCCAGCTCTGTCTCTGACATTCATCAATTTAATGTAATAAAGCAAAAGTTGTTACCATGCTTTTAATTCTACTATCAAAACAATTAAATGAAAAGAAAAAGTTACTCACAAGTTATTGGTTCTGTAACAATGGAGGAATGATGGTGAGAATGGTATCTAGAGTAAAGATAATGATGGTGAAGTGCTCTATGTAACCAATAGTAAAGAAACTCTACTGGTCCAGTATGAAGCAATGCTGCAATAATGGCTCCATCAGTTCTCCATAGTGGAAGACATGATGCTCCTTTTAAGGTGTAGCATGCCAAATAATATAGTAACCCATTGAACAATATTTGATCATCCCTATAAATCATTCAACAAAATAATCAATAACATAAACAAGAATGTTTTGGCATTGAAATAAAGATATCTATATAGGAATTTAGATTTGGTAAAGTTTATGTGTCACAAACATATTTGTAGATGATGCTGGTCAATTTATTAATATCGAACTTTGTGAGTTAAATTATAGTTTATGAACAATTTTTTGTTTTTTGAACAATGCAATAATAAATAGTTATGAGTAAAAAAATTATATTTTATTTTATGAAAAAACATATAAGTGAAACATTTTATTTTTTTAGAATGATTTATATTGTGAAATGTTGAGAGGATCATTTAAACTTATAAGGTAAACATATTTTCTATACCTAACCAAAGAATAAATGATGGACTACTATATAGAGACAAAATTAATTTATTTTGCTAGACATAAAAAAGAAAGATGGGACCCCAAAGTTTTTAAGGAAAAATAAAGATTGGGTGGAATGGGCTATGATTCTAAAGAAATGGCTTGTCTCAAGTTAGGTTTTGTCCAATACCTATCACACTTCATAGATTAGTATTACATTTTTAAGGTTATTTTATTAACAATATATTAAAAAAAACATAAATTAATCTAAACGAATAAATAAAATAAAAACAACATTGATAAAATTATCGGCCTTAATTTTGATTTATTTTATTAATTATTTTAGTTTGTTATGCTAGATTATATTTAACCCAAAATGATACTATTTTTTAAATGAAAATAAAAACAATCATTTGATATTAGAATTAAGACATATATTTGGTCCTTAAAAAAAATTGAGCTAACTCTCCACCACTATAAACCCTAAGATAGATATATATATATATATATATATATATATATATATATATATATATATATATATATATATATATATATATATATATATATATATATATATATATATATATATATATATATATATATATATATATATATATATATATATATATATATATATATATATATATATATATATATATATATATATATATATATATATATATATATATATATATATATATATATATATATATATATATATATATATATATATATATATTGTAAATTAAGACAAAACATAACTCTCGTATAATTTTTTCTTTTAAATTTTTTATTTTAAAATTTAACGTTGGTTCTATTATCTTTTAGTAATCTATAAATAAATTAAAATTAAACAAAAATATTAATACGGTTTATATTTTATGTGCATCGACACTAAATGGGTAGATGTTAATAATAATAATAATAATAATAATAATAATAATAATAATAATAATAATAAATAATAATAATAATAATAATAATAATAATAATAATAATAATAATAATAATAATAATAATAATAATAATAATAATAATAATAATAATAATATATTTAATAAAAGGATTAAATATATTTTTTATCACTAAATTTTATTTTTGGTTCTTATAAAAAAAAATGATATATTTTAATCCTTACAAAATTATTATGGATATAGTTTTAGTCTCTACTGTTAAATTGATGTGAATTTTTGAATAATTATTTTACAGACATGTTTAAAATATTATAAAAAGTTCTTTAAAAATAAATAAATTCAAAATTTGATTTTTAAATCGAAATTTTCATTAATTTCATCAATATTTTTTAAAATTTTTAAAATTAATTTTTAATTCATCTCATTTTAAAAAAAATTTAAAATTTAATATAAAAATATTTTATAATATTTTAAATACGTAAGAAAAAAATTATTTAAAATTTTTAAAATAATTAAATAGTTTTCAAAATTTTAGAAAATAAAAAAAAACTAATATTACTTATATAAAAAATTTTGTATGAATTGAAATGTATTATTTTTTAATAAAAATTAAATTAAATTTTAAATATTTATAAAAATAAAAAACGTATTTAATCCGGTTAGATGAATGATAAATATAACAAACTAACCAATCCTTCTCTCTATCAACTTGATCAAATTCAATTCCTTTATCAACAATTCTATTATTTCCTTTAGCTGTTCGATATCGAGAAAGACTGATCCATATTTGATTATGAATAATACGCCATAGCAAAAATGGAAACACCATAGACGTCGATACATCTCTTTCACTCTTATCCTTCACCATCAATGAATATGAACTGTGAATCACCCAAGGAACTAGTACAACATACTGCAACAACAAAAAACAGCAGATTATTTTTTTTTTTAATCAAAATTATAGGAATAATTCTACTAACATATTTATTTTTTAAAAGAAAATATATCCATTCTGATTATAATTTTGAAATTTATGAAAGTATATTTTTATTTTATTTTAAATAATATAAGTTTGGATACTGCAGATAAAAAATATAAATATATTTGAATAAAAAATGCACAATATAACATAGTAATAATCACTTTTGAGTTTTGACTATATAAAATTTCTGAATAAATTGTAGTTAAAAAAAATCTGTATAAGTGAATGACGGTGACTAGATTTAGTATAAGTAGGTCTTTGAGTTGGATTGTTCACTAATTTCAAAGCATACACTAATCGAATGTTTGTCACATTAATGAATAGTGTCTATGCTAATATTTCTTTATTAAACGTTCTTCTTTGAAAAAAAAGTTTAATACTGCAATATGTTTAAGGTCGAGTCCAAACTCAAAAGAGAAATTTTATTATTTATTCAAGTATATTTGAAGATAATTTTTTTCTTTTGTTACAACTTTTTTATTATTTATTTTCACTTTAAAAAAAAACAATTCTTTTTCTCTTATTAATATTTTTTTTTAAATGAAGAAACAAATATTTCATGCGCTATAGTGTGATTATTTCCTTAAAAAAGTATGTGTGTGTGAGAGAGCGAGAGAGAAAGAAAGAGATTATAGAACAACCTTAAAGCTTCCAAGAGGCTTCCATGGCCAATCAGTGAGGATTCCTGGTCTTGAAGCCATACTAATGATTCTCGTAGAAAAACACACAAGTTATATTGTAAGCACAAGTGTTGTTTTTCTGTGTGTTTTGGAGAACATACATATGACTTTATTTATAGACAAAATACCAAGGTTAATTTCCAACAAGACGTGTAGCATTTGAACTTCCAACGTGTCCAAATAAGCCACTTAATAATAAACATTTTAGACTTTCCATCATTATTACTTTTCACTCGTGATAACCAAATTGAGATATTGCATAATACTAGTTAGTTAATTCTATATACTATTGAACTAATCTCAAATACAAGTATAATAATTAATTCCTCGTACATATATTCAACATATTTTGGTATTGCTTGACCTACTTTATGATATTTAGTTAATGAACTGTAACTATACATTTGCAGTCCATCATTTATTGGCCTCACCAAATTACAAAATGGGGTCGGCAGACATTAATTATAAGCATGATATTGGCATCAAATTCATCTACGAATTTTTTTTATAAGCAATGAATATACATAAAGTATTAGGGTATTTTAACCAATTTTTTTTTAATAAAATTCGTAAAAATTACACTTAATAATAGAAATGTTTTCGATTCAAAACCATTTCCAAACGTTCAGCTTTATTTCTCATCTAAAGTTTGACAGAGTAATTACAACTTTTAAAAATAACGTTATTCTTAATACACCAAACGCTCAACAATTATGTATTCTCGGAAAGAAAAAACATTATCACTACTGTTTATTTTTGGGAAAATAAAAAGTATACATTGTAGTTTACTTTCTCCTAATGCAATTTTTTCTTGCGGTTAAGGGCGACAAAATAGATTTAGTTTGTTGAACATTTCTGTTTTATTTATATATTTTTTGAATGAATGAAAATTTTGGATTTCTATTCTTTAATACTTTTTTCGTAATAAATTATAAATAATTTTTATTTTTTCGATTAATTGAATAATTAATATATATGATTTATATATAGATCAGATATATTAATTATACAATGAATTTAAAAAAACAAAATTTATTTATAATTTATTTCAGAAGGAATGTGTTTGTCCATTCATTCTTTTTTTTAACTTTTGCGAATGCGGACACTAATATAATTTTTTTTTTTGTAATTTAAACTTTAAAAGTCTAGCACATGTGGGGAGAACTAATATTTTAGGTTAGCAACCTCAACTATGTATGTCTTGCCTTTGTTTATCTTAAAATTTGATAAACAATCGCTAGTCTTCCAAAATAAAGATAATTTTGTATCACTCACAAGATCGACTAGATTGATCATAGAACATGTGTCTAAATTTGGTTTTCTAAGGTTTTGAGATATTTTACTCTTAGTCGAAAAAGATGATTGTAACGAAAATAAAGGTAAAACAAAGGCTTAAAGATAAAGGTAAAAAGGCTTTAAAGTAAAAACTGAAATGTAAATGAATTCGACTTAAGCTTAAAGTGAAACGTAAAAGACTTGATTAAAAAATAAATGACTTTGAATATAAATTGGTGTTTCTATACGTACGTTCTCAGTAACTCTTTTCTCTAACACTTGGTACTTCGAGTTTATTTGAGTGATTTGTACAAAAGTGAACACATTAAATTCTAACACAAAGGCTATAATTTATACTAATTCGACAATAACGGTCTTTCTCTACAAGAGTGTCACGTCCGATGTTTGCATGTCCTTCGAATCTTCAGGCTTCCACGCGTCCCTCCGGATAAGGTCAAACCATTTGAATTCAAATTCTTCTCCAATTTGAAGTGCCAAAACCCATCAACGTGACTTTGTCGAAACATTTCAAATTCAAAACTTTAAATCTCTTAATTCCCATGTATTCCGCAACAATAAGACCTTCTATTCGACAATTTTCGACTGTCGGTCGAAATCCCTATGAAATGTTCTCATATTCCTTTTGGAGCTAGTTTTCCTTCGACATTCTTCATTTCTCTTCAATATTCCAGGTCGCCGAAATTCCCAGCTAACAAATTTCTCCCAAAAAATGTTTATTTTGAAACACTTTGAAGAAATGGAATTTTTTTTGCAAAACTTCAATTTCGACGCAGAAGTTGCTTCATGATGACCATTCTTACTGTGAAGTCATGGTCATAATGACCATCTTTCCAAACGTCTTATCGAGACGTGCATAATTCAGTTTTCATCATTGCTATACTAAAGTAGGTTTAAATCGTGGCTTTTCCAAAAAAAAAAAACAACCATCTTATCAACTTATTAAACACCAACATGTGTCTCACTATCTCTTTCATTTGACAAAATGAAAATGAACCGTTTATCCATTTTTTCACTATAAATACTCTCTTCTTCAAAAAAAAAAACTTTTCTACTCTCATTTTTTCAGAAAACTTGTGATTTCTTCAATCTTCTTTCTTCAAAACATTGTTCATCTTCAAACTTCCTCATCAATGGTGCCTATAAAATAAAGCAACAAATATGCTAAGGACGTGAAGAACACCAAAGAAGTTGTTTTCACTCCTGTTGTTCGTGTCACAAAACTCACTTTGATTGGAAATCAGGAATTTGTGTCAACACCAATGCTTTTTGCAGAACAACGTGTCATCTATGAATCTCAGGTAATCATCCCTTTCACTCTTGCTGATAAAACCTTAGAATTCATGGGCCCTATGGTTCATGCTGGTGATTTGGAAAAACTCAAAGAGTTTTTCCCACATCGCATAACCAAACCCATAGCGAGTAAGATTAGTTCCCCAAAAAATATAGATGAAAATGTTGATAAAAACCCTAAGGAATTAGCTGCGAAAATTGCTCAGGAAGAATCGTCTTCAGGATCTATTAATGTAGAAAAACCTTTCCATTTAGATTACATGACTGATGCCTTTTAGGCCCTTTAGGCCGTGTCCAGCGAAGAATAGCAAACAATATCTTGATTGGTTAGCTAAGTAGAACAGAAAAATCCCAAGTCTGGAAAGACATGGGTATTTTTTACTTAATTCAACTATCAAAAGTTGGGCCAAGCTACTGCCAACATATGCTGATGGCATCTTTGTATTTCTGGGATGGTACTTATAACACCTTTTACCTTCTGTAATACGGTGAGAGAACTGACTCTACTGGTTTTGTGTTTTATCACAAATATTACGGTTAGCAAGAGTCACCACCGACTTTTCTTTTATCCAACAAAGAAAAAGGTGAAAAGAACAAGAAAGACCTTTTTTTTTAAGATTTTGAGTTCGGGGGGTAGGTTATGGAATGGGAGGATGTTAGCACCCTTTCCATCCGTAGTTATCTACGGGCTCTTAGTTGCTAGTTCACTTTTGAAAATGCTTTGTGTTTGTGTGTTTTGAAAATATTTTTGAAAAGGCGCCTTAGTGCAACGAACTTTGTAATATTTCTCCTTTCGTTGAGAACGTATACAAAGTGTTTTTGTCTTTAAAAATTATTTAGAAAAGAGTTTGTGTATGTGTAAAAAACTGTTTTATTTATTTTTGTGAGTAAGCAACTATAAGCGATCTACCTACTCGAACGGTCTTTGTTCTTTTCATCTTTTCCTTTAGACAGTGATATACTACTATTAGTTAGTAGGTAGCCCTATCGTTGGGTGTTTTAAGGGATAGGCGAGGGTCATCGTACAGTCACGAAGGCAACTCGTAAGATAATTTAGCAATTACCTTAAGGTTTTAAGATCATTTACCGAGGCAACATCGAAAGGGTCATTGAGGGACTTATGATCTTATAACCAAAGGGTCACTGCTAAAATCTCATACGTTCGAGAGACATGATTGTTTATTCCGAAGGCAATAAGTGGAGGTATCCTAGAGGTGCGTGTGTGCGAATGTGTTGTGTTTCAGTTATTTGTCTTGAATGTTAGTTTTTCTAATGTTTGTTTTTAATTCTTTCCATGCAAGCCTATTAGCATACATCTAGCAGTTAATATAGGTACGGAAAATAAAAATGCAAAAATTTGAATCTACGCTATTACAATGCTTCAGGATGGGGGGAATTACAAACCAAAAAATGGGGGAAAGACAAAGTAAAAAGGTCCTAGTTAAAGTCTATTACATCTCATGTACAATTACTTAATTGTGAAAATAATGCGAATAAAAATAGATAAACGCGCGGGAAAGAAAAGAGAAAGATGTAAAGAGAACCTAAAAAAATCTTAAGTGGTAAAAATAAATAAAAATTTGTTATTTTTTTGTTTTAGGAAAATATTTAAATTAAATTTATGGAAACCTAATTCTAATTAATTAATTAATAAAAGAAAGAAAATGATTAAAAATAATTAATTGAAATTAATTTAATTAATGAAAATCTAAGTCTAATTATTTTTTGTGATTTTTTTGATTTTTTGATTTTTTATGATTTTTATGAAATTAGTTAAAAAAAAGAAAATGAATTAAACAAAATACGCAATTAGCCAAAATCCGTTTGAAACCCTTTTGCAAAAAAAAAAATTGTTTAGATTAGTTTGTTGTGAAAAATAGTTTAATGTTGGTTAGTATTTTTTAATCGTATTAATTGCAAAAATCCTAAATTAATGCATGAGTAAAATATTTTAATGCAAATAATATAGGAAAATATATATTAATGAGTTTTTGAATAAAAATAATTTGGATGATAATGTAATATTTACATATAATATAAAAATTGATATTATATAATAATAATTATTATAAAATTTCTTATTTTTTCTCAACTTTAAGCCATTTTTTCATCATGATACAAGATGATTCAAAGAAAGTTCCCAACATGAAAGTTGTAGACCTCCATGAAATATACAACTTTGCTTCACACATTTTTCCCTAAAGATGCTTGGATCTCAAGATATAATTTTGTGAATACATGCCCATGAACTAAAATAACTTAGTGAAATTTTGCCCTAATTTAGGCAGGTTTTGGACCCAACTTCATGGCAATTTTTCACCTAGTCCCAAGAGGAATCTTGAAATGCATTTCAAAGATGAGTTTTATAGAACATTGCAAGCTTTCCAAAATGTCCAAGAACTCCTTGAGATCATTTTTGAGTAGGGAGAATCGAA